CGTTTTACAGTAATACAAACCCAATCTCTTTATTGATTACTTTTTTCTATGCATTTCTTACTCTTTTATTCACTTTTGACCCATTTTTAAACATTATCTCTCTATTCAATAAATTATATTAAATATCTGAACACTTTTGTGTATTTGAATTACTTTCAAAATAAATTTATCTCTTCTTTAACTTTCCATAGTTTTCTGTTATTTTTTGTTTTTAATAATTTTAGTGTTAAACAAATATTTCAATAATTATGGAAATGATTGACAGAATTAATACATTAAATATTCAAAATTAACAGTATTTTGTCGTCCAAATTAGCAGAGATTTTGGCAAATTTTGATTTAATTAATTTTTTGCTCAACACATGTCATAATATAATTAAATTCAAACAAATCCTGAGTGCGAAGAGAATCAAATAACTTATGATAACAAAAGTGTCGGAGAGATGTGTCAGTCGGAAGGGATGTACAAATGGTTAGTCTTTTTTGTTTCCATTTGTACTGAAAATTGTTTTATTGTATAACATATCAAAGTATATAAGTTTTTAATGACTGGCAATTGATGTGCGAATAGGAGTATTAAATACAAACAACGAATGGATTCACTGATAGCGAGAATTAGTGTCGTGTCGAGCAATGAAACAAAGAAATGGTAGGATATGTGCACTCGTATTGCCATTCAATATAATGAGTGAAATCGAAACTAAGGCCACAGAGAAGTGCAATAAAAACAAAGAGAAAAGCTTAAAGTCAAACATAAGTCGGAATTGCATTATCACTATTGAAACAGCTGTCACTATAAACTATAATACTGTACATCACATCCCATTCCCCATCCACTGTATTACTGTATTATGATTTTAATGCAATCGACAATAGATGTGCCATTCATTTACATCAAATATCACAGAATCGACATATTCTTAACATAACATTCACTGATTTGTTTACATCAATTCAATCAATTGTCACCTTTAAATGACCTTTAAATCAATTAATATCAATGATAATTAAAAATGGTAAAATAATTTGTTAGCAATTGAATGGTATTAGTGGTGAAAGAGTTGTATTGAATGATATGATAACAATTAGTGATGAGATGTATGGGATTGTGAGAAGTGATGAGTATAGTGGAAATGGATGTGATTGTGGAGGAATGTCTGGATGGCTATATAGCGCAAATACGATTGCAGTCGTCTCTAGAACTGAACCTATACTTCAATTCAATGCAGACATACAGAGAAAGAGAGAGAAAGAGATATTTAAACGAAAGGAAAGAGAAAAGAGAGAGAGAGAGAAAGAGCGAGAAAAGAGCCACTTTTGATAGCATAGAGTCGGCTGTTGTGTAAAGCAGTGAACATAAAGTGATTGTATGTATGAGTTGTTAAGGCATTGAATGCGAGACTCAGCGCATAGAGAGTGAGTGTTTGCATCGATTGCGGCCAAAGATCTGCTAAACCAAAGCGGAAAGCAATGAGAATAAGAAGTGAAGTAAATGACAGAACATTTGTTGCATTATTTCTCTCTCTCTCTCTCTCTCTCTCTCTCTCTCTCTCCCCCTTGTATTTCCCTTTGCTCTCATTGACTCTCACTTTCATCGCAACACTTATTCGACTACATCTCTAATCTATGTTTCTCTTTGTCTCACTTTTTGCTCATAAATCTATTGGATTTTCCGCTTTATGTCACTGTTTTGGTGGTAAAGCCTAACATTGTTAGCAATGAATCTCTTATGCAGTATTGGAAAGAGCATGGATTGGAAAATGTTTCTCACAGTAAGCAATATGTTACGCAAAGATTGGGTTAATTTTTGTAAATTTACTAAAAATGACATTTTAGTAGCACTTATGATGTGATGTGAAAGAGATGAATACGATTAGCAGATTAGAGATAAGGCCATACATTCATACTGTGGTCACATAACAACAATAGCATTGATGTTAACAATGCTTTTGTACAAATGGCAAACTTTACACCACATCTAATAGAGCACAGGGAGGGGAACCCATATAAAGGCAACTCTAGACACGGCTCAGTACTGGACTTGTATGAGTGCTGTTCACTATTTTGCAAATATCTATACTTTTTTGGTATTATATTAGAGATTATTGTTTGACTGAATCCACTTATGAGGCAAACGAATGCAATTTATTTTCAATGCTCACAAAGAGACAAGACTAACAGCACCGGCACTACAACACCGCACTCTAGCACTGGTAGTACAGCTGCCAATTAAAACAAAAACTCAAAATATTTTCATTTCTCATTTCACTTATATTTTCTCTTTTCTCTTAGTTTTGACTTATTCTTCGACTGCAATGAGTGTATGAGAGGTTGAAAGGGGAACAAACAGATCGTCGGTTTGTGGGGGGATAGTGTTGGCCGGGGATGTGCTGTGTTGTGCTGTGTTGTGGTGATGTGGGAGGGGTCCGATTGTCAGCTCCAAACACGAAGTTTGAAATAAAAAATACTAAAAACAAATGAAATGAAATGAAACTCGTTTTGAGTTCTTTTCTTCATTTCGAGTTTAATTGGAAATTCTTTTGCAAACAACTAATACATTGAAACGAAAACACAGACAAACTATGGCAGTGTTGGGTACTGTTTGGGGTACTCTTGGGGTACTGTTCCCCCTGTACTCCACCTTAAACTAAAGGGGGAGTGATATCGCCGATAGCGAGTCGGGATCATAACGCAAAAAATGCCGGTACAGTCTATATAACCATTTAAATCTATGAGCTTTTAGGCCTTGAATTGATGCCTAAGTTTGAAACATATTTTTATTGCTTTTATTCCTTCGTTTCATTTCATTTCAATTTTAATTAATAGATAAATCAAAACCATTTAAATTGACTTCAATTCTGTTTGTATTGCTTTTAGTGACACTCAGTCTTATATTTTGCGGTCAATTTGAGCTCTGCTTTGATATCTTACTGACCTTACTGTGGGCTCCGGTATTACTACAGAATTTAACAAATTGCCAAATATTTCATTTGTAGAGAGAGAGAGAGAGAGAGAGAGAGAGAGAGAGAGAGAGGCGGAGGGAGTGTACCCAAAATGACAACGAAAAGTGATTTGTTTTTACTATTGAAAAAACAATTTGAGTTGAAAAAAGTTATGAGAAAATTATGAGCCAATTCTTAATTTAAGGGAAAAAGCATTTGTTTTTCGAGTTTTAAAGTAAATGTAAATCAAAAAAGATTTGTTGTGAAGCAGATGTGAATCAGTGATAAAATACAAATATTTGGTATAATTTGTTTGTAGAGTATTTAGAAGTGAAATGAATGGCGAGAGCGGGTGAGAGGGGCATAAAGTGGCGGTGAGAGTGGCATAACTCACAGTTCTTGTAGGAGTTCCACATTTGCCACAACAAGGATATCAAAGACTGCAATTATGATTGCATTGAAAACCGGTACCACATATCAAAGTGATTGCAACAGAGCTTCATCTCTGAAAGACTAAGTCCGCCATATATTAAATAATATTGCATTCAATCATTGCTAATGAAACTAAACATTATTTCCATTGATATAATGGCCGGTTCTGAATAAAATGGCTCACGATTTGCAACAACAACTGTTAGCTCCTCTCTGAGGATACAATACCAAAAAAACTGATAAAACTTTGATCTATAATATCATACATAATATGATGCAAACCAACAATTCATAAGCGCTTTTAACACACTGTGAATATATTGTACAACAAAAGTACTTAAACTGAATTGTGTTTTAAGGATAGCATTCAATAAACGATTGACTGTTGGGATAAACCCCTAAGAGAGGTGACAACAAAGTCTGAATATAAGACTCGATGCGATATGATATGAGGCTAACAATATGGTAAGTATGGCGTACTGTCCGTATTGTGCACTACTTGTATAATAATTGATATTATAGTGGAGTTGTGTAACAAAATAACTCTTTGAAAACGGCCATTGAGTTGATTGTTGTGCCACAACTGGTGTGCGATACGAGTTTTTGCGCGGTTACCATGTTTTCCAGGTTTGCCAGCTTTGACAGACCCGGCTATTACTTGCATAAGAAGTATATCAGGTTATTGAAGTGTTAACATCATTACAACTCCACTCAAGGGGTAGTTTTATTAGGGCTTTCAATAACTTATTATGTGGTCTTAGCTTTCATTTCACAACTCATTTTCAACACATATGAAACTAAAGCTGTTTTTAAAATATATATTTTATTGTTTATTAGCCATCAATAAGTGGTTATGAAATACAATATTCAATATTAACGCAATTCTCTATTAAGTCACAAATCATTCATTGGATGAAAAGCTGAAAACTTAGTTTAAGTTTTTAGTTCTAGTATTAAAATAACTTTTGTTTCAAAAAGTATGGGTTTGTAAATATTTATATCAAAATTCTTGACAATTCTGTTCTGACAATTGAGAAGATGTCAAAAGTAACGAAAAAGAAAATTAATTTTGTGTTAATATTTGTTGTGTGGATAATATTGATAACAAATGTCGGCATTACTACTAAATAGATTATAAATATTTAAAACTAATTTATTTTCAAGAGTTAAGTATATTCTGTTACCATTTTAATGCTATATTAATAAATAATTGAATTTTTACATCAACAATTCAAATATATACTCAATTCAAAGTATTGCAAGTGTTTTGCTTAAAATATAAGGTTTATAATTAGTTTAAATAAAAATATCAAATACATACATTTTTCTGTGAGGGCAGCGATGCATTTGAATGGTAAACATATATAAGTGTATATATTCTTGTTTTTATGGAGCATTTCTTATAATCAATCAAAACATGTCTATCATATAAAACGCATCGGTTTTCAAACACTTTGAAGTGATAGCAACAACAAAAAGTATTTACTTTTATGTCTACTAATATTTTTTGTTGATATTTATTAAATCATAACTAAAAACTTAAGAATAAATCAAATAAATGTCTATAAACTGAATTCTAAATAATATACATTAAGAATAAAGGTGTGAATATAAAAATGTGAACTAATCTGACCGTCTGATCAACAATTATAAGACAAAGAATGGTAATGAGAAAGTGGTTGACATACCGGGCAGTCGTGCAGTCTTTGTATAGGACATCAAAGTCTTGAGTTGACAACAATTTGCATCGGTTAACACCAGGTTGAATTGCGCCCAGACCTCGCAGGATTCTCACCTGTTCAACATTGCATACAATCGGCACTATATCTAAACGCTGTAAACAAATAGAGAATAACATTTATTTATTAATGGTAATCTTGTTTTTTATTATATTGTTAATTAAAACAACACATGATATTTAATAAAAAATAAATTTGTTGCTAACATTTTTTAATTAAAAGAATGTATATTTCTATTAAAATGTAATTTTATATAACTTAGCAAATGCTTAAAATAAAAAGTATCACGAAAACAAAACAGCAATAAAAAAATATCACAAATATTTTATTTAAAGAAAGCAAATTGAGTGAACATTTATTTCACTGTAAACTTAATATAATTTGTGAGAAAGCATTTTGAGTGCATATTAAATAACTTGAGGCAAAGAAAATTAGTTTTTTTCAAACAAATAAATTGGTTGATAGTTTTACTCACTTATCAAAAATGATTAACATTTGTATGTAATTTATTTGCCGTAGTCTGATAAGAGTGTAAGAATTGCATATTAAAGCTAAATTTGTAAAATTCAATTTATATTCAGTTATTTAATATAATAACACACTTTTATCATAATCTTTATTTACAGATTAAACTTCGAATTTATTTATATTTGTTTGATTATTAATTTAAAAAACAAACTAAAATATATAATTATTATAAGTATCGTAATATAGCTTATAATAGGAATCTATAAAACAATCGGATAATTAAATGATATAAATGAAAAGACGATTCAATCAATTAAAAGGGTATTTGTTAAGACGTTAACAAAGTGTGCAAAAACAGCATTTATATAATGATTGGCTTTCATTGAAAAGAGTGATTGTTTGAAGACTTACTTTGAGTTTAGTATAGACTGTGTGAAGACCTCCGACCAAGTGTTTTAGAAACAACTCGAAAGCTTGTGGCAAACATAACAGATATTCAGAGCACTGGGATCTGTTTGCACTGAGAAAAGCTGCGATACGCGCCCCACGGTATTCAATAAGACGACATTCATTAGTGGCCACATATTGTTGTCCTGAACTGTGCTGTGAGTGTTGGGATGGCATCGATCCTGAATTGTGTTGAGGCGTTGT